ATGGCGCGATACGCTGGCCACGTGGTGTTCGATGTTAATTTACGAGCGTTGATTTTACGATCGGTGCGCGGCAGAAAGAACGTCTAATCCAAGCAACGATGCGTGGCGCGACGGATATTTATTTCGATTGAAACGTTGGCCCGGATAACGGGACACAGGATTTACTCGAAACGGCGCCCTCCATATATCGCGGAGGGTTGTACAACTATTATAGCCGAACGCCGTCGTTCGTTACGCGAATCGAGTTCCGCGAAATTTTAATTATCGCGGAGCATCGATTGGGCTGGCGTGAATAAAAAAAAAAAAAAAAATTAGAGATACGTGCTTTACGCGTAAAATGTAAAATGACACGTAGAATTTTCGTTGCCCGGATATTAATCGAAATTTTCTCAACTGGATGTATTATCTGTATTTGCAATAATGCGAATAGATGTTAATGTAGTATATATATATATATATATAAATATAGGATGCGTTAATTATTGAAAATGGAATTGGAAATGTTTAAGAAAGTGTTAAGAAGGATGGAATGGAAATTTTAATTACAACGGAGTAATCGATCGATGTTAAAAATTAAAAGATACGTGCTTTGCGCGTAAAATGTAAAATGACACGTAGAATTTTCGTTATCCGGATATTCGATTAACCGAACTTCCCCGTTATCTGAATTGTACACTATCTGTGGAATAGATACCTTTACTTGCCGCGGTGGAAATAAAATTTAATTTGAAATTGATATTGGATATGTCAATGTAGTATATGTAGATATAACTATTGGAATGAAATTGGAAATATTTATATTAAAAAAAAAAAAAAAAAAAAAAAAAAAAGGAAGGAGATTGGGTAACGTATGACGTTCGATGGAATTAAAGGGGCTCGATACACGCTGGTGACACACGTATAGCGGCGTTTATCAATCGAAAAATCAAATGGATGCATCGAATTAAAAAAAACGCGGATCGAAAGCTCGTGAAATCCGATGACACAGCCATTAGTCACGGTCCTTCCGAGAGGCATTAGCCACGGGCCTTGCACCACCACGGATGCGAATTTCGGAAAGGTTCGACCGGTTTCGAGAGAGCGAAACATAAGCTCATACGTCGTGACAGAAACGCATAAGTGTACCGTATGTGTGGGTGTAACTAGTGATGGGATCAAGTATATCACAAGTAGATAAGATTCGAATCTTTCGTAAATATCGTCGAAAAAAAAAAACCTTAAAAAATATTCGAATTAATTCGAAATTCGACGAATAAACTAAAAATTTTCTGTTTATTTTAATAAATTAATCAATGCTAACGTAAAATCTAATCATATCGTAAAAATATTATTTTTCAACATTATATAAATAAAAAAAGATAAAATAGAAGAAGGAAATTGAAATCACATAATATTTATTTTAACTACGAATATTTCGCAAATAAATATTTCTTATTATAATATTCAATTCTTTTTTGCATTCGATTTCACTTGGATTTATAAATACATATTGTACTTGATCCCATCGCTAGATATAACACGTGCTGACACATGCGTGCACACGAGTTACATACACACACACATACACACATACATACACTAAAAGATAGAACACGAACGCGAAGCTATCTAGGCTGAACCTTTCGAGGTTGACTTCTTGAGACACTGGAGCGGAAACACGAGACGTATAGCATGGGTTCCACGAGGCGAGTTAATCCCTTGAGACAACTGGGAGCTACGGTATGGAATGGGAATGCCGAGGGAAACCTGGTGGTGTATTCTCACTCGCTACTCGACAATGTTATTATTACGCTCCCCCGTCCGCATTACGCGGATAATTTATGTCGGTCTTTACGTATAGCGTAACGCGCCCAACTTGTCCTTTTCACGTGTATATGCGCATCCGTGCGCGCGTAATAAATGCATATAATACTCACCCATCGTTGTAATCATTCACTCGACGTGATAAACACTCGGATGTTTGAGCAACGTTCTTCCTCTCCTCCCCCTTCTTTCTCTCTCTCTCTCTCTCTCCTTGTGTGCTGTTCGTCCGTTTCCATCGGTAGCGCCACGAGCCTCTTTCTTCCATGAGCATCCGCATCGTGGAATAATTCGCATTAGAACCATATTTCTCTTGCTAATTCGATGCAGAGGTTTACACGTGTTGTTTGCATCCACTGCTCTTTGAACGAACTCACCGAGTGCAACGCTGGTCTGAAATTTAATAAGAGAAGAAAGAAAGAGGTTAATAATCTTTTAGAATATGCGCAGTAATAATATCTTACGATCAGTGGTGTAAACACGTCTGCCTCGCTCGACGATCCGCGTAAGAAAGAGAACTTCGAATTACGACGCCTAGCGGTCACGGAACGATAATAATAACAATAGGTGTCGTAGTAAGTTTTGTGCGTACTTTAAATTTTGGAATATATTTCACGCTTGAATATACACATGTTCAATATAGTTATATATATATATATATATATATATATATATATACACATTGTTCAATATAGTTAGCATATAAGAAAAAGAAAGAATACATTACATTGTCCGATGGTTATAGTGTAATAATATTAAGTTTTTTCATAGGTTTTATTTAAAAAAAGTGTAATTTTCATGAAAAAATAATAATATTTATTTATATATATTATTTATATATATTTTTATATTTTATATTAATTCATTATTATTTGCAAGAATTATTTTTTATAATTCAAACAAATTTTTAATTTCTTTCCCAAGAAATTTCTTTTTTCAATTAAAACGATAAAAATATTTATTTTTTGATCTGTATTCACACAAAAATTTATTACATTTAAATATTTAAAAATTTTATAACAAAAAAGTAAATGATGACTTTTTGATACTGATGATTAAAAAAATATATGGATTCAATATTAATTATATTAATTACATTGTTTAATTTTTGTTATTTCTTTGCAATTTTCCGATATATTTATTTCATTCTTGCATACAAATCATTCTCACAATTTTACTCTAAAAATTTATATAATAAATAACTCTTTGTAATTACAACTGTATTTCTAAAACATTCCCTTATTTCATATCAACTGCATTCTTTAAAATTTCCATAAATGCATGAAATATCCAAAAAAAAAAAAAAAAAAAAAAGAAAAAAAACGCCGGGCTAAAAAAAAAAAAAAACAAAAAAGGCCGGGATTAAAAAAAAAAAAAAAAAAAAAGACAATAGATGTCGCGATTAAATACAGAAGAAACGAAACGGTCAAATTTCTGAGAAAAAGAGAGATATTCACCGGAAAGAGGGCAGCGTGGAAGAAATTCATTGTTATTCGAGGCCGTATTCCTAGTTTACCTATCATTACCCCGAATCATGCACGTACCACGACCACGAGGCACGGATAATTAAAATTCCTCCACCGTGGCAGACTCGTGGAACTCGCATTTTCTCCATCTTTTCGTTTATTTCCTTTCTCCCTTTGATCCACCCCGCACTAGCGAATTCATTCTACCATTCTACCACCACGTATAATAAGTACACTCATACACGGGTCTATTTGCGGCCGCCATAATAATTCTTATCCGAGGAGCAGCCGCCGGCTGGCACCACGCGATATTATTTCATGTGCTCAGGCGTCAACAGGATCGTAAATAGCAACGTCAGACGTACGACAACCCGCCCTCGTCGTTTTCATCGACTGTGCGACTCACACAAGCGAAGGAGGATCGGGCCGATGGCGAATCGACTGTTTCCCATTTCCATTCATAACCTATGAAAAATTCGTTTTATTTCAATCTCGCGTTACACGCGGCTACAAAATTTAGAGAGAGATTAATCTTCTTTATGTCACGCGAACGAGGAATTTCGTGACAATAGAGTGAGAATTTTTTTTTCTTTTCTTTTTTTGCAATTTAATCTTCCAGTTGATATACCAACTTATATACGTAATTCAGAAGTAAAGTAGATGTTTAATTTTTTAAGATACTTTGAGGATAATTTATATTCTACCATTACATTCTACGTTTCATTTGACGAAGATTGTGATAGTAGATTGTTAATTGAATATTCTAAGTTGAGAAAGATCGAGCTCAACGTATGTTTTCTGATAATAATCAGAAACGAAGAAAAACTTACAAGCGATATTTGAAATAATTGATCAATAATCGAAATTATTATAAACGCTTTGAAATTATTTGGAATCAATGATTTGAAATTAAATCGTAATAATATAATCCTCGCAATAACAGACAGAATTGTTCGTTCGATGTTTAATATATCTTTGCAAATATTTCCAATCTCCATTCCCCGCATCGAAACAAATCGCAACAACAATCATCCTCTTAACAATTTAATCATCCAAATCGAAGAAGAAGAAGAAGAAGAAGCGACAGCGGATGACAGCGCATCAAACGATTTATCCCCTCTCTCCCTCCCTGCCTCCTCGAGAATCGCGAAAGTTAAACCGGCCTCTTTTCGTGGCCGTATAATTCGCCCGTGTTGAATGCAAATTTATCCACCCCCAGGGGTTACGGTGTCTACGGCACTGCGCTCGCGTGACTATGACCACGGCCACGAGCGAATTTATACCGAAACCACCAAAACGTGACAACGAGCGGGAAACGTTGCTGACGACCGGCCGAAGGAGAAGGAACGAGTCTTAAATTCACATTAAACATTCATCGGGATAGAGCTCGCTGACAGGAGGTCGATGGAACGGAGATAGGGGCATTCCTGATCGAGCTAATGCGATACTGAAAACTGGTCGAGGTCTTTTCGAGCTGTCTATCTTTTCCTCCTTTTGTCCGGCTTCCCTATAACTTGACGTTTTCACGTGGCTCGATTAAAAAAAATTCCCACTTTTCTTCGAAGTATATTCTTTGACATCGATACCAAAAGAACGATATATACCTTTCAAAAGGTAACAAAAGTGTATTCACAGTGTTAAATTATCAGTGAATATTTATGAAATAAAAATTCCAGAATGGGGACATTAAACATTGATTGAATAAAAAAAGTATTGCTTCAAAACTGGTCCAGGAAAAAAACCACCCCTTCGCGAATTTATATCCGCATAGAGTAAACCGCGGATGAATTTCGCGGTTTGTAATTAATGCTCATCGAAAATGGCATATAGCTAGCAAATCTCTTTGGATACTCGCATATTCGAAGCCATTGAACGTTGATTCGATACTGCTTTCCACCTCTAAAATCACTCGAAACGCGATTCGCATCGATATTCGAGGCTACAAATATTTCCTCGAAATCAACTAAACTGTATCATATGTACACTCAATGACAAAATGATCTCTGTTATCCATGGAACAATAAAATTTAATAACCGCATAATTTAGCAACAAAGAAAGATCGATAACAAATTTTATTTTTACAAATTTCGAAAATTTTTGCGGCCAAATTCGGACTCGTCACGCGAAAAAAAAACGAAACCTCCTTTCCTTGATTTTCATCATTCTTTTACTACCATTTTCCCGCGCGAGCAGATCAGATTAAGAGAAATCGATCGATCAAAAAACAATATATATATCGCCATTTAATTTTCTTCTGACACTATGCATATAAAATTCGATTGCATTGCGAACGATTTGAGAATCACAAAAGATATGCTCTCTCTTTTTCTCTCCCCGTGAAAAAAAAATCTCGCGCGATTATTTCGTCGAATCGTTTCATTCACACGTTTCATTCGCGAAAACGATACACGCGGGTAAGTCGCGATAAAAACGTTCTCATGGCAACCATCTCGAAATTAAAACCCGCGAGATAGCTTCAAAGCGATTACGCCTGGTCGCAATAAAGGAGTGAGGCGGATCTTGAGAGAAAGTAATTCTTTCGAATATAGCCGAACAGGATTTGAAGGAACGCGGTTCACATGCATTCTTTCGTGTGTATATATATTCGCGAGTATTGTAAACTCGGAAACGATCCAAGCGATGTTTGCAACGCCTCGCGACGATCGAGGCGTGTAATGACGAGAAGGAATCGTAAGAGCGGTATATACAGGGGCGACAAATATCAGAGAGAAGAGAGGGAAAAAAAGAGGGGCGAAACGGGCCGGTTTTCAAGCGGATAAACTCGTTGCACAGATCGTTTAGCCATCGCCCGCGGCTTTTTCTGATTGCTTCTCTCTGCCTTCTTCACCCGTGATATTATACCGAGCAATTGAATTTCTTACACCCCACTAAGTACTCCACGCTTCCATTCTTCTCTGTCCCCTCTCCTCCTCCTTTCGATATATCTCTCTTATATCCTTCTTTTATATCCTCCTTCTCTTATATCCTAATTTCTCTCTCTCTCTCTCTCTTTCTCTCTCCAGTTTTTTTCTCTTTCCCTTTCGTCCATGAATGAATTTGAGAGAATGGAAAATTTTCTCAAGAGCCGATATCGATATCGGCGCAAACGAGAATTGGATGTAATTTCGAAAAAAGAGAATAGAAATCGCGCTTTTACTCGAGCCTCCTCGATCTTATTACTTTCTGCCCTTTCTTAAGCATTGATCCACTTGTGTAACTTGGTTACGAAATAGTTGGTTCTTTTTCTTTTTTTCTTTGAATCGTTTATTACGTTACGAGTCTGCTTTTTAAGAGAATCTCGTAATAAAAGAAATATTTCCTACTCGATGAATCGGTACGCTTAAGTAAAAGATTATTCTTGCCGATTCCCTTAGAAAGAATCTCTTTACATTTAAAAAAAAAAAAAGGATTGAAAATATACTCGTTAAATTCCTCGTCCAAGCGAACGAATGAATTTTTTTCTTTATAAGAAAAATTAAAGATACTTTCCACTTGAAATCCTCGTGTATAAATTACTCGAGTGTATAACAATGATTCTAATAATCTCTATATCTATTCTCTACTCATTAAATTCTTAAACCGTTCCTGTCGACTTATAAGCTTTAAGCTATAAGAGAAAAAAAAAAAAAAAAAAAGCTTGGAAACAACCTCGCGCAACCAAATTTCCAATTACACAATTAAAACCGCACCAAATCGTTTGCCGTTCAAACCGAGGTAAAGGAACAACTGTACGCGCTTGACACGTACAGCATAATACCTCCGTTGTAAAATTCATCCCTCGAATACATGACGAGCCGGTGTGGCCTTCCTTCCACTGGAAGCGTTAATCGCGGCGAGAGGATCGTATCCCACGGAAGAACGCACAAAAATAGTAACGGCCGTTCTCTTCGGGGGACCATGGCGATGTTTCTTCGCGCTGGAACGCC